ATTTATTCTGTGTTTGTTTGCATACCAGCCTTTATGTACATGTAAATACTAATAATCAAGTGATTAGGTTTTATGGTGATTATCGCAAATCCAGAATTGCATACGTACTAGTAATTCAAATGAAAAAATGACATTGGTGTCATGAAATAACTATTTTGGGCGATAGAGCATATACAACTTATAATATTACAACAGCGTCATGATGGCACTAGCGACTAACAATAATAACAGGATAACGTAACTCGTCAACATGGAAGTCAATGAAAATGTCATTTCATTCTTCCCCAACGAGGGGAGCTGGATACGAAAGACTTAAGATGATATTTAGTTTTAACACTAAATGTCGTATACTTTTAGAAATGGTGAACTTCCTTGAGTTATACGGAAGGACCTACCTTACACGACCGCCGCAGTGATCACATCTGTCCCCGGTCCAACCATCATCACAATCACACAGACCGCTTATACATGTCCCATGTAAACAGTCAGAGTCTTTTGAACAGTTAATCGCACACACTGTGTCTATAACTACGAAACAAATAAGTAAAACTGCTAGTAACCGGTGACACTCCTGTCGTATTTTCCTAAATTTTGACTTCGCCAAGAAGAAATCCAGGTACATCATGTCCGCCATCTTTGATATTACTATAAGGTGGATCAAAACCTTGCTGACGTCATACCAGCGCGTCGTGTTTGGTGTTCAGCTAGTCTGTCTCAATTTAAACGCTGAGGGCGGTTAAGAAAAAGAGTCAGCGTTCAAATTGGGAAAGGAAACCAGACTAGTCCTCTTGGCCGTTTGTATTTTTGTTAGGTCTAACATTTGAGAAATTGCGAAACGTTGAAGTAAACTATAATTACAGGATGATATAAATAAAGAAACCTCCCAACAAGGCCAACCTCCCAGAGCAGCCGCTTCGCTGCGATCTATTGAAAGTAAGCCTCAAAGACCCGTTGGATTCTTTTTTACAGCCTGAGACGTGCCGCTGAAATGAGCCCTGTTTTTCAAGATTACTATAAGATAAGATAAGATAATTCTTTATTACAACCATATTGAAAGAAATTCAATTTAGGTGAATACAAATGTAATAAAGGTATAACAAACTATTCTAAAAAACTAAAACTATACTTATCATAAAGACACAGTACAGAAATATTACTGGTACTTGAAGATAAAAATTAAAATATATTACATTTCCACGAGTTTTTGTTTAACATTGATAATATTGTTTTTTGTCGTATATGCTGTTTTTATGTATTTAATTAATTCTTTTATCAATGGTCTGTTCTCAGCATTTAAAATGTAAACAATTTTCTCTGTATTATTTGCTTGAACAAAATTTTCAATTGATTCTGAAAATTTTGTGTATAATCTTACTCTGGCCTCAGTATAAAGACTACATGATGTGAAAAAGTGTAGCTCATCTTCAGTAATATTATATTTTGCACATTTTCTATCTTCAATTTTTATTTTTGGTGTTTTCCAGATTCAATGATAAGTTTATGTGCACTTCGTTTTGTAATTTATATGTACGTAATTTTGAGTTTGGATCATTATTGTTATATATGGGTCTTATTTACCGTCCAAATAGGGACTAATTCAGGGTATAAATACCTTGCAGGTTGCAGTTGTCCGGGGTAGCTGTTTTTGAATAAATATAAATCTATATGCAAGAATCTAAATACCACGTAAGAGCTCTTGCATTGATTTATTCTCACTGGTAAACACATTTTAAAATATGTTATCGATAGCTGACAATAATTGTTTTCGTGAACGCAAAGAAAAAGGTGAAGTAGTTATAAATCAATTCAACTTTATTGCATAACAACACACAATGGAAAATACAAAAAATAGCTGGAAATGTTGCGGCTGCTGAGAGGGGTAAATATACAAATTATCTATTACCCGTACCTCTTTTCTTTCGAGTTTTCGCTATAAAATTAATTAAAGACCATTTGTTGTTTAATTTGATGATTGTTCAATGTCACCGAGGTTGTCAAAGTTTGCATTTTGCTTCTTAGCATTATCAAATAATATAACTCCCCCAGTATTATATTTTTAGACACTAAATTACACAATATAATTCATCTTCGATTGCTGGTTTACATAATTGACATAACCCTTCGTCTGCTGGTGCAATTGGGCTTGTTCTACCGCCCAGTCAAGACAATGGTAAAAAACTCTCAATTTTATTAAGGATGAGTTATCATGCAGGGAAAAGTGTTTTGATCATTAACAAAATATATATTTTCTTGAAGCCCTTGTTCCTGGCTTTTTGAAAAAATCAGTCTGCGACGTACCACGAGTTAGTCACGTGATTACTAAGTAAACATAGAGGCGTTTTTTTCACGTAATTCACATTTTTGATGTTCAACAAATAATTTTTCAACTTGAAACATAGTAAATGGCTCATATGATTGCCCATTAAGAATATTGCACAGAAGAAATATATACTGCTTTAAAAACATATCATTAATGAATTTTAACTTGTGCCAATGCTTCAAATCCATGACCAACCGCAGCCATTAATTAATGATCGAGAACAATCGATAATACGTATCACAGAACACACCTTTTACTTTACAGAGTGTTCTTGGTATCATTAATATGAACGCGAAGACGCTCCCTTTGTCCCCTTTGAGAAATGTCAGAAACCGGAGTAGAAGGCGTGATGCATAGCGACCACAAAATATGAACCACGATTATTCGATATTACGTTTCAAGTGACCATTTACCCGTTTGACCGTTTTGATGATTGCATATCGAATCAAAGTAACATTTTTTATCTGTTACCCCCCTGAACATTCAAACCTCAATACGTAAGACATAACTATCAGTATGCGTAGTGACTTTTTTTGACAAAACAAACTACCAGAATATAACTTTTGAAAAAAATAGCAAAGAACCACATCAAATGAATGATTTTTAAAACTGACTGCTTCAGCCTGAATACGCTTTAAAATGTGTGATATTTCCAGTGACTCGTGGTTCAGAGAAGCCAGGATGTCAGCAAACACCGTAACAGAACAAATATGTGAAAAATGTAACATTAACCTACCCATATTAATTTTTAAATTTGCGTATATGATCACTGTTATAATAATTATAGTGATACATCATTATAATCATTGTCTTCGTGACTTGCATACTGAGATCTATGTCGATTAACATATGATAATAAGGTATGATATTGTTTCCATGGTGATCACTATGACTTGTTATAATATTATATTTCGTGCATAAATTAGCATTAACAGAGAGGCGTGTACCACTTCTATCGATATGAACACCATCACTATAATATAGGTGGCCACTCCTTTCTGCTCAACAAATACACAGGGTTTATAAATAAGTCTGACTATTATTTATACAAGACACCTTATCATCATATATATTCGATTTGTACCATTGAATGCTAAGATACGTGACGTAATAATGACAGCATTACGAAATACATTCCTAGTAAATTCATATAAAGATATTAAACCATCTACAACTATGTCATCGGATAAATTACTGACATAATTGTCTAATATTACTACCATGCTCTATACTATTGATATAAACTATAAGTTTAATCTAGCTATATTATGTGAACATTAAAAACATTTTCTCTTGAATACATTTAATTATTGAATCACCAATAATTAATATTTCTGTGTTATATGGTGTGGGTTTCCTTCGAGAATAACTTGACGTTGCCGGCACTCTCACTTGTCTGTCCACGTTTCGAATTTTGGTTTGACCTTTCGGACCATGTGATGACCTTTCTGCAGACGATCATTCTATTTATTGTGAAATAATTGTATTACCATTTTCAATACTTTCTTACTTTACTAATTCAACGTAGCGGTTGGACGCTGGTATCACACTTTAGAAAGGCTGGTCAACCACGATGTCTTCCCACGCTGGGTTGACACTGGACAAATACTCAAGCTACTGTATCACCCGCAACCTTTCTGACAATACAAACTCTATCAAGGTATCTGAAAAAAATGACAAATTATTTCAAGTAATAAAACAGCATATATTATGATTTATCTCTTCGGAATAGTGTAGTACGGCCGTCACTAGAGTACGCTGGTGAAATTATAACACTAAGTCATTCAGATTTAAAAAAAAATGAAAAAATACAAAGAGCAGTAGTGAAATTTATTCTGAAATCTCGGAGAAATACTGTCAATGAAGCTGTTCTTGGTGACCTTGGGTTGAACACAATGAAAAGTAGAGTAGAAATAATGAATTAAAAACCCTTAGTCACAACACCGAACAAACTGAATTATGCAAATGGCAGAAAAAAATAGATAATATAATAACAAATGTAAAATTAAAAAAAACAATTCGAAAATATCGCTGTTAATAAAATGAGACTTTTTGTTCTGAAACACGATGAAGCAAAGAGAAAGGAAAATATTAAAGATAAATCTAGTTTTGACTAACAAGATAAAAAGCTGCGAACCACATATAGAATCAGTGACAGATTTTATCTTGGTCGAACTGAGTTTAAGGCAAGGTCCTACACATTTAGCTTGGAATATGAAAAAATGGAATAGGAAAATAATACTTCTGATTCTGAAGAGTGCACTTGCCTATGTACATTGTAAGGAAAAAGAGGAAAGCCTGGAACATTTTGTTGCAAATGTTTTGCAGTCAGAGAGATAAGCTAATGAAAGTGAACAAAGATATATTACTGAATAGAGGAGAATACATTCTTTACGCAGATTTTTAACAAAATAGAGAAATAATATGCCTATTGCTAGGGAGACAGTGGACAACCCTATAATGATGTCACTTGTATTGAGTCCAGGCAAGGTTGTTAGACAATACCGTCATTTAAGTATTTTTCTCTCTAATTCTAGCATTTGACCTAATTTTTGTTGTTTGTAATACCACATTTGATTTGTGATGTGTACCGCTCATATTAATTAATTCTGTCGTCTATACTTGCTATTTTAATATTTGCCGAAGCTGTATCATTACAATTGGCTTCAATTGTCAGCAATTTTCGTATTAAAGGGCGGTGGTTGTCTTGGCGGTGTTGAAAACTTTATCATTGGTATCAGTTTTAAAAACGACCGTTTTGATTACGTGACATTTAACTCATCCGTTATGTGGCTCAACTTCGTCGGTGGCTACTGGATAAGTAAGCTTCCAGAAGTAAAAGCTCAGTTTCTTGTGCATGTTTTAAAGGGCGACAGTCGTCGCGCTGCGTCATGTTCGATATGAGACTTATAGCGACGTATACAACGCGTGTAACATACATTGTTTACATGAAATTCGAACACGAGCTGCGCGACGACCACCGCCCTTTAAATTCCATCTATAATGTTTCCAGTTTCATTTCTCTCATCTCGACAGTCACACCATCTTTAAATTGAATATCAGCTGCCGTTTGTAATTCCAGTAATTTGCCCGTGGAAGTTATTATTTAAAAATTCATGTTTCCCGTTCAGTGCCTTAAGATCGCCCTGAATCAAATTATAACGATCGGTCAACAATATATAATTATTTTTGAAGAGCCTCGAAAACTTCACCAATTTTCTCTGGGCACATCTGAGCAGCATGTTGGGTTACCTCACTCTGGTATTACGATACAAGTTTCTATACCATCGCCGTCAAACAATTTCATAACATTAGTATTGTTTCAAACCATATTAATAAAAGCACGACTGAGAAATTACATCAGGTATCATGATACAAAATGGTCTCCAGTCAGGCAATTTGAGTTAAAATGCAAAACAGCATCAGGCATCCAACATATAAAACCATTATACAACGTTTAAAGTGCATTATAGAGCATTAAAAAAAATGGCTGCCAGTTGACCATCTTTGATTAGATTGTGACACAGACCAAATTTCCATGATGAGCTAAAACACATTTGCCTGCGTACCAAGTTTGAGCCTACCTGGGAGGGAATAATTTGAAATATAAGCAGAATTGAGATGAAAACTCCAATTGTGCAAAAAAAGTCAAAAATTGAATAATTTGGTCAAACATCTTGGATTTGATTGTAACACAAATAAACTTTTGTTGATGTGCTAGCATACAACTGTATGTGAACCAAGTTTGGACCTAATTGGACTGCATGAATTTGAGATACAAGTAAAAAGGTGTGAAAAGAGAAAAATTGCAGAAGTTTATCAAAAATGGCTATCAGGTGACTACCATGATTGTAACACAAATGAACTTTTGCTGATGTGCTAGAACACAATTGTCTGTGAATCAAGTTTGGAGCTTCATGTAATTGGACTGCGTGTCATTTTAGGCTGGGTCTAAGGTATGTATCTACCTTAAATTAGCATACGAGTCGAACAGCTTCGGCAGAAGAATATACCGTAATCGTTGTTGGAATAATGATGTGCAACTCATCACTTGGTGGCAGCATCACATTGAATTCGTCATCATGGTACATTTGTAACTTTTTTGTTTTGTTTTAAATACTGTAACGGCAACTAATCTATAGTCTCCAAAAAAACGCCCACATTAAATATTACATAAATAAATTTAATAAGACCATAATTCTTCACATATATATTCACCAACCCTGATGAAAAAACAAGTGATTGAAATTGAAATGAAGATAAAGCACAGCAATTGGCTTGTAATGTTGGACACAACATATTTGAATCATTTTCTCCCATCAATTAACATAAAAATAATAACATGACATGAAACCCATTTAATAAATACATGTATAGTTTTATTTGTTAACAGTTGTCAAAGTTTTCCCATCAAAAACTTGTACTGAAAAGTAGTTCAATAAATAATGTAATGCAGACATTAATATTTTCAGGCTTCTCAAAGCCATCAGTTGTTCGCAAAGTTTTGTATCTGTTCATTCTAATACAAAATCAAGATGCATAAAGCTAACATTTTCATCAGCTATGTAAGCCTTTTTGCCAGAAATTTCATCAGGGAGTGGAGGGGGGGGGGTATTATAATCTCATCTCAGACAAAAGTAGTTTCATTATTGACTTATAGAGGACGCATTTCCTTATGGTAACTGCCGTTGTCTTGGGTTGAACAGAATTTTGATACCCGGTACACATCTTCTTAATCAATCTTTGAAACAATCAACTTCTTCATCAAAATGTAAAAGTTTGGAATCTAAATGCCAGTTCTCAATGAGTTCTTGCATTGTTGGTTTATCTTTCATTGGCAGCTTGTCTTGGAGTTCTCGTAAAGTATCTTGACTTGCACTGCGCCACTTAATAATCAAACTTTCCAATTTATCCAAATCATTCTGGAAAGTAAAAAGTTGTATTTAGAATCAAATTATTTCGAAGCCAGCGACTTTCAAAACTCTGTTTTTGCTTATTAATGTTACGTATCAAAATCAACTCAAATGATTTGATAAGTCACTTGTCTTTAGAACACCATTGAAATGTTCACTGTACAAAATTAAATAACTTAACTGGAATTGCAAAGTTTGTAAAAATATTTTGCTTGTAAAATTAAGGCATTTTACAATAATACCCATATGCTAAAAATCAGTCACTGTCAATCAAAGATACACAGTGACGTTAGATCATTAATGTTTCTGATCATTGAGTGCATGTCACAATTTAATTTTTTTGGTTCTGCTATTTTGCATGCATTTCTTTCATGTTTTTACGTCCAGTGACGAGGAGATAGAACCTAGAATGCATCTGAATTGACCACATGTGTTAAGGATGAGTTTTCACCAAGGCTTGCATCAGTATATTGATAAACCACATTGAAATAGCTGTATATTGTAGCGAATTTGACTCAATGGATGAACTTAACAGAAGAAGTGTTATCTTTTCTTTCTTAATTTAGCAAAGTTACAGATTAGCTAAAATAAAATAAATCAAATAGCTAAAAAGATGTGTTGTACAGTATAAAATACCATCTATACCGCATAAACTAACATGAACTTGAGATGAAACTACAAAGAAATTGCTCATATTTGCATGAATTTTTTTTTATCAATAAATGCTCAGTTTTATACCTTTGTTCTGTACATTTTCACCATCCTCAATTTTCGCAAAGTCTCTTCTTTTTCTGATAATTGTTTTTGCAGTACATCTCTCATTGCAAGTAAATGTGGAAGGTTTCCTTTATCTGGACTGGAATCTGTGTTTTTTCTCTCTCTGTCCACAGATAATTCTTCAGAATTTCTCCCTTGGCTTGAAGAACGTGGTGCTAAAAACAAAACAGTTTTAACAACAGGTTCTGCGTTTGTTTCTGTTTTCCTTCTCTTAGTTTGGCAGGATTTAAGTTCTGATTTAGGATCTGCCAGAGTTCTGATGGGGGTCGTCTCAGTTGGTGGAATGTCTTTCAGTTTTGGGCCACCTTGTCCAGGAGACAGCTGTTTATTATTATTGGTGGGGGAATAAAACGATCTTCTTGATCTTTTTAGTCGTTCCCTCAAACTGGAACTCATCTGAAAATAATGGGTAGAATGATATGACAATATTCAATGGCCAAATTACAGTATTATTGTTAATTATAGTAAAAATCAAACTAGGACCGGTTATTATCAAATAACCTGTTTAAGAATCAAAATTGGAATTTTTGTATGAATTATGACATTTAATTTTGAAAATGCTTTATACGCTTAAACAAACAAATAAGATTTTTTTACAAATTACGGACAAATAAAATAGCTGATTACATTTATCATCTTGCCCATGTCTACGAATTTACCTTTTTACGAAAATAAAAACAATTGATTACAGCTTACGAAAATACCCCTTGCCGACCCTCTTGATAACCGCAAAAAATTAGATGGTGTGTACAATAACAATCACTGCACATGCATATTGTTTTCAATTTTCATCCAACAAATACTGTTGTGTGTGCTGCAAAGATGTTTGCAAGAAATTGTGATCTTAACCAACAATATTTGCTGTTGGGATGCTTTTTTGCACCGCCCTCTATGTTCGAACTATTTTTTTAAAAAGATCAATAATTTAGTAAGATCATTGAATAAGGTAATAAGATGAACCCTTTTGTCCGCCATATGGTGACGAAGAGTTTGCCATGATATCAATTTCGAGATCGTTCAAGGACCAAAGCATTGGTGGCACACAAACACAACACAACTTCACCCTCTGCCAGTTTCAGAAGTTGAAGGTTTTTTGACCCCTTAGGCTTCTGGTAGTTTGTATGACTGAGCATTTCATGCTTTAGCTTACTAGTACATAGTTTCGACACATCAAACAGTACATAATAATACACAAATTAACTTTAGTGTACGATCTAAGAGCTCTGTGATCGCTTCAAGAGACGGGGTGTAACAAAATTAAATTCCAAACAAAAGAATTTTAACTGACTTAGACAAGCTTTATTAACACCGGAAGTGTATTTCGTTTGCGTGCGCATCTCAACTGACGGCGCCATTTTTGATTTCAAAACATCTCTGAAAGCGAAACTTTTCATAGGATTTGTCCATTAAATTTCAATTAAGGAATTGAAAAGTTAATACATACTTCTGGTAAGTATAGTGATTATTTCAAATATTTTATATAGTTCACATGTAATGTTTGGAATGTATTTTCGATTATTCATGTCCTTGTTTTTTGTCGGACAATCAGCTCTCCGTCGAGAAACTACTCGGACTGGGTCAGCTGAGCTGCCATAAAAACACTGACTTTCAAGTCAGACAATGTGATCTTTTGTAATTTGCTAATCATTCATTTGAGTTTCAGTTTGTTTTCTACCAGAATTATTTATAAAATATCAATCAGATATTCAGAAAATGTGTTAAAATCATATGGATATGTACGAAAACTTTTTTTTAACATTGTTGTTTGATATATTGTATGTATCCCAAATCGGACTATGATTTATCATAAAATAAAAATGTTGTATCTGCAGGACACACAACAGTATTCGTATTTGTGCAGTGAGTGTCGTACGTACCACAACAATCAATACACATGCGTCTTAATTAAAGAATTTCATTGTTACATACAATGAATACTCAGATGCATGCTACAAGAATAGCGTTTCCATGTCATAAATCATGGTCCGATGTATTTATCAACACAGATTATCAAACAACAATATTAAAAATTACATGTTCTCGTCTATATTGCATCTTTAAAAGGAATATAATTTATATTTCCATGATCAATGGCAAAACCATGAACCATGACCATGAAACCATAACCATGAAAATATTTGTTTTTCTGTGCACTGTCTTTTAAAGCGTACTAATCAAACCAAACTGCTCATAATACTTTTGAACTTTCTTTTTTGTCATGACGCTAGTCTGATTAAATTCCAATGTATGGAGAGGTCGTTGCCATTTTTAATATCCAGCTGACAGTGTGCATCACATATAACTACATCCGATCAATAGACCAGATTAGACCACGTTCAATAAACATGTGCTTTCTTCTTGACTTCTGATGTCAGCAGTGCAAAAGTGGGAATGATTCTTTACATAATTTTTGCCTTTCTAGCAACAATTGAAGTACCTCATATATCGCTAAACTTTATTGTAATCTCTGATTTTCAGTCTGAAAATTTGACCAGTCAAGATTAATTTTGTATTCTAAACATTTTTTTTTAAAATTATTATTTGAAATTTTGGAGCTTTTTTCGCATTTTGGGTATTGTTCAACAAGAAACTAGCAATGTGACTTGTCAGAGAAGAATGGTTGAATATCTGTTCGTTTGAAAGTGTTGGAAGTAATTTTAGTATCTGACACATAGTTTTATAGGCAGGCAAGCAGGGAGGCAGGCAGATGCAAATGATTGTAAAACAGATTTTTACTATCCAGGTATAGAATGTTTTCAGTGAATATTTAAAATAATTATATTCTGTAGCCAAAATGCCGACTGTACAAGAAGAGATGATGTCACCTCTACCCAATAATCACTTACCATCCACACCAGCATCAGACTTCATTTCACCAACAACAAAACGTCATCGTGGCTTTGCTGCTAATCAGTCACCCATGCTTCGTAATGTACTGATCAATGATGACGCTGAAGAACGAAAACAACGCAGACGTTCTAAGGTGCTTGAAATGCAGAGATCGTTAGAAAGTCCTGTTGCAACACCAGGAGATAGGTAGAAATTCACATTGCTTGACATTATATTTAGTGTTATTTAACATTGTGTTATAGCGCCCTCCTGTGGCCATTTTGAATTTTTTTCTTTTTCATAACTTCATGTGCTTTTATTATCAGGAGGCGTATTTCTACAGATACAAGTACTTTAAGTAATGTACAAGTCACGGAACACTATTCCAATTGTATAAAATTATCAGCAGAAAATGTAAGTACAGTCTGTTAGTGGTTACATAGGTTACAAAATTAATAATAATGTTTTTATTTATTCTACATGTACATTTATAACTATTATTTTTTTTTTCAGAAAATTAATGCCAAAAATGCCTTTCACCTCCACTTAATTGACTACATGTCTGACTTGATCAAAAAGAAGGAAAAAGACGGAGGAATGACCAATTTTCAGGTATTTTTGAAAATCTGTTCTGTTAAAGTTATAATACATATGATAATAAAAAACAGTGTGTCAAATAACCCAACCTTGCCTAGATTTAGTCAACCTTTTTATGGCTTAACTGATAGTGACCACCGGAGGGTGCTAGGTCCATTTTAAATTTCATTTAATTAATTGGCGGTAAGTAATTACAATTTAGTTTTTAGCTATCATTCACGAAGTTATTCCTGTGGTGGTGATATTCAAAAAATATCAGCGGTGATACCACTTTTAACTCAATTTCAACCTGATGGCCTTCGTTTATTCCATAAAGTTGGATACAGTCTTCTCGGTAAACCACACCTTGGCTGTGTATCCATACTCCACGTGTTGCCTGATGTGACCTGCAAAACATTCAATACCGATATTAGACAAATTGTTGATAAATGGTTGTCTAGCTCGTGTTTTTTTTTAATTTACGGTTACTGGTTCAACAGAAATGGCAGGTTGTTACTTGTAATCATTCCATGTAGATTTGTAAACTATCCAGCTGCTACATAAAACTAACTTACTAATTGAACCAATCAGAACTTTGTTATTTGTCTAGCCAAACATCAGTGTTGTGGTAACATTAAAACTAGTTGATCTGGTTTGCATGGTTGCGTTATGTGGTGGTACTTCATCTCTTCAGGATGTTTTCGTTTTCTGCTTGTAACAGGATATCATAGAATGAGATTCATTTTCACACTAAATAGCTCTTCTCGTGTTGGTGTTCACGTTCAAACTGATGAAAATGTGATACCATAACTGTTTTTTTTGGTTTAACTTTAAATGGTATCATTTATTTACCGCTTTGAATCCAAACTTTTTGTTTTTATTTGCAGGTTGCGAGTTGTACATTGGATGCTAGTGCTAAGATTTATGCTGGTCGAGTTGATTCCATCCACGCTGATGCATACAAGATGCTTGGTGGCTTGGGTAGAGATAGTGACAAACGTACAGGTAACTAGTCGTCTGATGCTATTTGTCTTTCAGTCTTCGACAATATTATATTTGCTCTGACTTTATTTTTAATGCTTGATTTCTCATCCAGTTGTTCAGTTTTGCGCTGCCATTGTATTAGTTTTCTTCAGTTTTAAGAGCCAAAAGGTTAAGCATTGATTGGTTTAATTTTTTCAGAGGGAGATGGTCCTGGTGTGGGTGATGATGATGATGACGACGACCTACAGAAAAAAAAGAAACATAAACGGGTATGCAATAAACTACATGTACAAGATGTTCTTTACCTGTTTTATAAATATGTGACATACTGTATTAAAAACACGTCAAATAGCAAATTAGACTCAATACTTGAACTAAGATAATCCTAATTTAGCTAAGGTGTGGGAACAATCTCATTGTTAGAATATACTTTATTCTAAATAAGCTACATTTTAAATTAGCTAAAATAACATGCTAAAAAGATTTTAAGATGTTTAGCATGGAGTTTCATTTTCACTGATTTTTGATTAGTTGAATGTAAAATATAGAGAAAAAAGGCATATTCACTGGATTTTATTTTCACTGAATCATCCCTTTAGCAAAAAGAACAAAAATAAGTTCTGAGCGAAATTAAAGTATTTTATAGTATATAAAAAAAAACAAATATGTAAGGAGTGTCATCATCACCTGGATCTGCTTGTGATCGTTTATATGAATAGTGATGTGTTACTTGTCTGCTTAACTAATTTAGTGACCGTGGGCTGAAAGCATAAAAGTATATTGTTGTATCTTTCTGTATCTAACGGTAATTAACTTGTACTGTTAATATAAATTGTTAACAACTGTCAATATTCATTGTTTTTCAGATGCGCAAGAAAAACACCATAGAAACCAATCTCAACAACATCAAGGGAAATCACCTGCAAATGGATTTTGAGGTTAGATGTTTGTTTTTGCAACAAAAACTTTTCTTTTATTATTGTATATACATGTATCAGTGTTCTCCAATTGTTTTCAGGGTTTCAGCTAATTTGCATATTGATTTGCTTACTAGTTTATAACATAATGTACAGCTATTTGAAAGCCAACTGTTTAGTCAAAACCCAAACAGTTGGCCAATTCGCTAGCGAGTTTGCTAATTCCTGGTACCTCAAATGCAAATGCATGCTTTTTGGAACGAAAAGATCGACATAGTGCACATTTGCATAACACAATCGAATAACTCAATGAAGTTCTTCTAACTGTGTTTTATCAGGTATCAAATTGTTAGAGGCTGACCAAAATATGTTGAACTATTTGAGCGAGTACAAATGTTAATCCTAGTGGGATGTCTTCAGACGTGCGGGCAAGTTATTGATGTAAATCACAGAGTATCACCCCTGTTGCCCTAAAACGCTTTGAGGAGAACACTATATGTACTGTTGATTCCATTTTAGGTGGATCCATTATTTCAACAAACCTCAGCTGAATTTGATGAAGGTGGAACCTCAGGACTATTATTAAATCATCTGTGTTTCAATGATGATGAATGTCAGTTATTACTAGATTCCAACAGTATTGCTAATCTATCTACTCTGACATATACTAAAGATGATGAAACAAGTCTTCTCAATGTTTCCGATATCAAAGGTAAGTCTACTGTAGCTGTAATAATAACAAGATTTTCTCTAAGTCACATAAGTGACATAAGCATGCATATAGAACTACATTCATACTTGTATGTATGAAATAAGGTATTATCTTGTTTGTTTCAAACATGTAACATAGTTGTTAGGACATGATTCATTAACTTTTTTAAATTTTTTTTTGGAGAAAAACTGTTGGAAAACATGCAAGAATGGGTCATTTTAGAAATATATCCATAGGAAATCAGGTTATAGCATTCTTTTGTGAAAAATAAATACACATGTAATCCCAATAATCAAGACAACCATAAAAAGTCATATTTTAACTACATAAGAATTGACGAAATTTTGAGTTATGGCAAAACCTTTTTACTAAAAAACTAATAATAAATTGCTCAAAAATCATTATTTTCATGTTGTTTTGACACATTTTTTGTGATACAGCAACATTTTCTGATATTTGTATTCACAGTTGTGAATTATGCTGTAAATGTTTCTGCTTTCTTATTTACAGCTATATACAAGTCTCTCAATTTTGATAAACAAATATGTGCAGAGTTTGCTGGTTTTGAATTTACTAACTGGAATGACACAGACGAGGTAAGCTGAAACATGTCAGACTTTGTTCTTTCAGTAACAGGGTTTTGTCATTGCTCTTCTGAGATCCATGTGTTCTGTGTGCTTATTATGTAATAGTTATCGCCCAATTTATAATGTTTTCTTGAACTGAATGTAACACATTATATTTTTGGTGGCCAATAATAATAATGATAATAATAATAATAATAATCCATCATGTGAAGAACATTGAATAATATATTGACTGTAATGGGTTATTTTGTGTATGTGATTCACTACAGGACACTATGACTAACATGTTATCTAAGATGAGTAATCATGAACATGCCTTTGATATGACTGCAATACCTGAACCTATAGATGACATGTCAGCACAGGATCTACCACCTGATGTTGGTGGATGTGATTTCAGTGATGATGAGGACATGGGTGGTGATGGATGCATTCCAGGTGGTACTACAGAAAATATTATTTTAATGGCTGATGATAAAGAAGCGCAGATGGCACAAAATGCACAAAACAAGTCAGTTTTAGAGAATTATTTGTTTTTAAATAAAAGATCAACTTCCAAATAAATGTTTTCCGTCACAGATGGTATAGCCAGACTCCTTTCTAGGAAACTGGGATTATAACGCTGTGACCTAAATCTGTTGAAAAGAAATAAAATAAATTTGATTTAAATGGAAATAAATTAAATTAATAATTTACTCATTTGATAAGTGCTGACTAAATAAAAGTGGTTAGCAGCAACATTCTCTGTTTCATGTGTTCAAAATTGTTACTAATTTTTTTCATTGTCTAGATATTTGAATTTTTCCATTGCAATAAACTGTAATGCATCATAATCATAGAATGATGGTGTCTGGGTATTCCGCAAACCTATCACCACTCGCACTTTGTGAATTACATTTAGAATTTAGCTACATTTATTTTCAAACCATAATTTCAGTAAAAATGGTCATCATTTATAAATATGAATCTAAAAAAGGTTGTCTTTTCCTTATTTGCAAAGGGACCAAAACAATTTGGCAATTGAATAAGAAAACAATGCAGTATTTATACCAATGTGACTAAAACTGCAATTCCATGCTGGTTCAACTGTTAGCCACAATTCAAACAGCCAACTACCAAGTACAGTCATGATTTGACAATAACATATTTAGAAATGTATAAAGACTGGTGATAAGCATCCATGTAATGCCATGCGCTTATTGTTTCACAGGATAATAACAGATGGTACGATAGGAGAATTATGTTTACAGCTGGCATCAGAACCTACGGAGTATTCTTATTTTAATCTTGATATGTTAACCACATGGGCCGGACCTGAACACTGGAAACTAAAGCCTAAACCCAGGGATTCATCAAGTCATGTTTCTGACAAGAAAAGAAAAGACAGAAAGGCATATTTTAAGATAGACTTTGATGAAGATATTAATTTTGATAAGCTGTTCACTGTTACTAAGGTACAGTGTAATTAATTTCTTCTTCAGTTTTCATTAATATTTAATCTTGTTTTACTTTGTGATAGTCATCTCATTATCGCCATCACATATTTATTATTATTATCGTTATTATTTACTGTATGTTCATTTGCAGGTGACAACAACATTGACAAAAACAACCGTTGAGAAGTGGCGAGAGACTGCTATCACATTGCCAGCTGATCTGCATTACAATCCTGATAATTTATTCCGGTTATTTGGACAACCTAAAGTCATGGTAGGTTGTTTCTTCAGATTTTTGATATTGTCAGTGGAACTACATGTAAGGATTGATATGAGATCTCTATGATTTGGTGTTATTTTGACGTGAGCTTCTACAGACAAGAAGTTACAACTCAATATAACCTGCAGTGATATTAGTTGGGAGATAGCGTTTCAGCCATGATATCAGTTATACCCATCTTAAATTCTTGATTAGCTTAACTACTGTAATAGTGTCATCTATGACTCTGTGCATGGTCCATTTGACCTGGTACATGAAATGACAAGATCTGACTGGAAGCACTCTATGATGAATCAGATACATGTAATCAGAATACAGTATAGTGAAAACGACAGCGTCTAAGAGATAAGTGACTGTGATAAGCATTCTGAGTTGAAGCATCAAATCTCATATTGTGTCTGTGTTGCCCAATTATCTATCCAGGCAGCAAAGCTTATAGAATAGGCAGCTTCATTGGATAATATTGATGGGATTCTGCCAAGGTTGAGAATTGAGTATTATCAGAATAAACGCAAAGATTATCCATGGCCAGGATAAATTCACTTATATTTATTACCATGCTTGGTACCTTGTGCTGTATTTCATTTGTCTTTGAAATAAATATTGCATACTATTTTGAAATGACTAATTTTCACTGGGTTTAAATTTCACTGATTTACCATTTCAGGCATATTCAGTGCGTTTTAAATTCACAGTTTTATCATTTAGATAATGTCTTCTATGCTAAATTTTACATATTCACTGGGTTTTAATTTAGCGCATTTTCTAGTCAGCAAAATAAGCAAAATTAAAACCCAGTATATCACCTAGAATATAATGTTTATTCCTTTCTAGGTTAAAAGACAAGCTGAGACTGAAACAGAGAATGAATCACTGGATGACGATATTGAGAATTACAACTATGAAAATGAAAATGACTGTAATAATTTCTGCCCAAGTGTTGAGGTACAGTCGTATTAATTGTACACATGTACTGCTTTGTTATTGCATTATTGCTGCTTTTTTGACAAATTCTGAAAGCACACACGTGTGAAATTTATGAATCGGGGAAAATTGCAATATTTTGTAGCAGTGAACATTCATTTGAGTTCTTTAAGACAGCAAGTCATGGTGACTTTTAGGAAATTTCAGTTCTCATAGTATCACCTCAATACTTACAACAGATCAGAAAGTGAGTTTAATCTTCAAAATGTTTTTATATTTCTGTAACCCCCATATTGATGTTTTTGTAGGATGATGATGAAATTGATGGTATGAGTGCTGGAGGCAGTGACATTAGTCAAAACACTAATTTTCAAAATAGTTTTGGTGTAAACGAGAGCGTCTTTGATGCATCATTGTTACAGGGCGATCATCTCGTAGCACAACCACATAAGGTAAGTTCATCTGTCACAATAACACCTTATTGCCATTAGTTACACAGTGTCGTAATTTTGCGGCACTGCATCAGGTATCTGCATCCTAACACATTTGGAAATGTGAATTCCAAATGTGGAATGATTTCCAAGATTGCAGAAATTTTTCATAATAAGAAAGTTCCAATGATTTTTACAATTCGATTCAGTTTTGAGCATCCTACATCAAGCGATTGGGCCAAAAACATGTATAATAATACAATTTTTAAGAGGATACTGTAAAGTGTACACTCTCACAGTATATAGTGGCATCAACCCCCCTTGGTCGGTCAATACTCTAGCTGTGTACTGTCCTTGTGCATACTTTGTGACATCCTCACTATAACCTCAGTCTTATTACAACTGTAATGCATTACCACAAACAAAAAACCTGTATACAATACATAGATATGTAATCTCTATTTATGGCTAGTTAAGTAAATAAAGACACCAAAATATTTAAAATGTCTCCTAATTCACAACCGGAATGCCAAAGTCATAGAGTATGCATGTACTGAGATAATCTTCAACTGTATAACGTACCTTCTCTATCTCTTTCTCTCCTCAAACAAGGAGAAGACACTCATCAGAATACATCCTAAATTGTGTTCTTGGACCGATTTTATTTACAGGTTGCTAGAATTGATATTCAGTATGCCCGCACTGCCAAGAAGATGGATGTGAAAAAACTGAAGTACAGTATGTGGAATATATTAACCACTGCTGAAGAAACTGACA